TTCTCTCCTCTAACCGACTTACCACTTTCCGATTGTCCCTTTTTAGCCCTCCTTTTATAAACTTTTAACATTTTATCCCCTTGAACTAATTTATCCCGATCCTTATCATTACTCCCCTCTTCCAAACAAATCTTGTCCTCAAGATTTAAATCAGGAAATTGATTTTGAATAACCACCGCATCCTCCCATGTGGCTTCGTCGGTCGGACGACCCTTCCATTTAATAAGCCATTGTAAGATTGACTCGTGTTGCACCAAAACGGTACGTTCCGCCATCACCAAATCTGGAACAGCCACATCCTCGACTGTTAACTCCAATTCGGGGGGTAAGATTGATTCCACTTTACTCGGAGACACCGCCCTTTTAAGTAACGACGCATGAAAGATGGGATGAATCCGTGATTCTGGCGGAAGTTGAACTTTATAAGCCACCGGCCCGATGCGCTCTAACACCTGAAAAGGTCCAAAGAAACGTGCTGCCAACTTTTGATGGATTCGGTGGACTACTGTCATCTGTCGATATGGCTTAAGTTTAACATATACCCATTCCCCCACTTCAAAACTAACATCTTTCCTCTTCTTATACGCTTGCTCCTTCATCAATGACTGGGAATGAATTAAATGAGCTTGAAGTTGCTTGAGAGCTTCATCCCGATCCCGAAGTTCTTGCCCAACAGCCTCCACCCGTACTTCTCCCGGAAAAAACTGTAATACAGATGGTGGTTTCCTTCCATACACAATTTCAAACGGTGACTTTCCCGTTGACACATGGAAAGAAGAATTATACCAAAATTCTGCCCACGGAACCCAAGAAGCCCAATTTCGCGGCTGGTCAGTTGCAAAGCACCGCAGGTATGATTCCAAGCAACGATTGATGACCTCAGTCTGCCCGTCAGATTCAGGGTGATAAGCCGAACTCATGTGTAATTTCGTTCCTTGTAACCGAAAAATTTCTTGCCAAAAATGGCTTAAGAAAAGAGGATCTCTATCACTTACAATTGACTTCGGATTCCATGATGTCGGATAACCTCCCGAACAAAGATTTCAGCCACCGAACGAGCTGAGTAAGGATGCTTTAACAGAATGAAATGGCTATACTTAGAAAGCCGGTCAACCACCACCAAAATAGCGTCATATCCCTTGGACTTCGGCAGACCCAAAATAAAGTCCATGGACAGATGCTCCCAGATCGCTTCTGGAATGTTTAGAGGCTGTAACAGCCCACCCAGAACGGTGGAGCTAGCTTTACACCGTTGACACACGTCACAGGCACGCACGAATTGTTGAACTCGAGAAACCATGCCCGACCAATAAAGATTGGCAGCCAATCTCCGATACGTACGCAAGTACCCGGAATGCCCTCCCGAAGCCGTAACGTGGAATTCTGCTAATAAAACCGGAATAAACTTCGATGTTCGAGGAATTACCAATCGACCTTTGTAATAGAGAACGCCCTGTTTTACTTCATAACACGGAAAATCAGTCGGTTGACGAACCCATCCTTGAACGATTTTTTGCAAGTCCACGTCAGCCTTTGCTTCTTCAATTAACCGAGACCCTTGGACCCAAATTGGAGCGGAAACCAAGTGCCACAATTCTCCTTCATCATTTCTGCGAGATAGCGCATCAGCCACTCTCTTTTCTTTGCCCGGTTTGTAACAGATTTCGAAATTGTATCCCAACAATTTTGCAATCCAATTTTGTTGACCTGGGTTGGAAATTCTTTGYTGCAGCAAAAATTTCAAACTTTTTTGATCTGTATACACAACAAAGCGTGTGCCTAACAGATATGCCCTCCAATGTTGCACGGCTAAAACCAACGCCATAATCTCTCGTTCATACGCGGATTTGTTCAAGTTCTGCTCACTAAGAGCTTTACTGAAAAATGCAATTGGTTTCTGTTGTTGCATTAGGACAACACCCAATCCTCTACCCGACGCGTCGCATTCAACCACAAATGGCAAACTAAAATCAGGCAAAACTAGCACCGGGGCAGATACAATAGCCTGTTTTAGCTGTTCAATGGTTGACTGTGCATCCTCATTCCATCGAAAAACATCTTTCTTAGTCAGCTCCGTCAAAGGTTTTGCGATACTCCCGTAATTACGAATAAACTTACGGTAATATCCCGTGAGGCCTAAAAATCCTCTTAAACCTTTAATCTTCTTAGGCGGTGGCCAATCAAGAATAGCCCCGATTTTATCTGGATCCATGGTCACTCCGACACCCGAGATAATATGGCCCAAATAATTGACGGACTTTTGACCGAACGAACACTTTTTTAAGTTGACAACAAACTGATTGGACCGCAGAATTTGTAACACTTGGGCCAAATCATGGAGATGCTGAGACCATGAAGCACTGTATACCAAGATATCATCAAAAAAACCACCACCAATTTGCGAAGAATGGGTCTGAATATGTCGTTCATTACCGCTTGAAACGTTGCCGGAGCATTGGATAAGCCGAATGGCATCACCAAGTACTCATAATGCCCGTCATGTGTTCGAAAAGCCGTTTTCTCGATGCTATCGGCCTTCATTCTGATMTGATTATATCCAGATTTTAAATCGAGCTTAGAAAAAAACTGAGCCCCTTTTAACTCGTCCAACAATTCCTCGACGACTGGAATAGGAAACTTATCCGGAATAGTAGCTTTATTAAGAGCCCGGTAATCCACACACATACGCCATGAATTATCTTTTTTTCTCACCAAAATGACAGGGCTCGAGAAGGCACTTTTGCTGGGTCGAATCATTCCCACATCTAACAGCTCCCTTACCTGTTTTTCTATTTCCTCTTTCTGCATATGTGGATATCGGTAAGGTCTCACACAAACGGGTTCATTGGGTGCCCTTAAGGTAATGCCATGATCATGATTACGGCTCGGAGGTAAACCCTTCAGATCAGCAAAAACAGCTTTGAATCGTCCAAAAACCTCTTGAAGAGCTCGAGTTTGTGAATCTGTTAGACACTGTGCTGCACTCGATTTTCCAAAACTGTTTTGTGCTAGATTTAAGACACCCGAATATTCATCGCTAGACAACCAACTATGTAAAGAAGAATGTGCAGTAAGATGCCCGGGCGTTCCTTGAAGACCAATGGAAACTCCATGATGTATAAAGCGCATGGATTGATTTTCCCAATTATGCACAACATCTCCTAACGTCTTAAGCCACTCCATACCCAAAATCACATCCAAATGTCCCATGTCGAATAACAACACGTTGACAGTGAATTCACAAGAGCCAACCATTACCTTAAGGTTTGAACACATTTGAGTAACCAACACTTGATGCCCATCCCCGAGTTGAATACGGACGCCAGGAATAACCAAAATTGGAAGACCCAAAGCCAAAACCAATTTTTGGGATATAAAATTGTGAGTCGCTCCACTGTCGATCAGAATTACTAAAGGAATACCCGAAATGGAGCCTTCAAATTTAAGAGTCTTACCACCCGAATTGGCTGCCGAAAAAGTGCCTAAGAGCTCCAAAGAATTGCAACTTCCGGTGGGAATGTTATCGTTCTCCAAAGCCTCCCGATCCTCRTAAGTTTCCAMGTTGCGAAGTGCTCCGTCTTCCTCTTGCAATTCATCATCCCCCAGCAGTAAAATACAAAGTTTTCCGTCAGGACATTTGTGACCAGGCCCAAACTGCTGCCCACATCGAAAACATAAACCCTTCTTCCGTCGCTCGTCCCACTCAGAACGTGTGAGAGAGCGAACCCCACGATTTCGATTAAACAGATTCGCAAAATCTGTCGAAGCACTAGCTGAAGAACAATAATTAGGAAAGGATTTTTTAGGATCAACTTGTGAAATTGGTGGTTTAGAAGTTGTAGCTATTGCCTGAGATCCTCTTAACTCCGAATGGCCCACATGCACAGCCCGCGTTCCACCCTCAAAATTCATTCCCGGACCAGGACCTGTATGATATCTGAAGCGGGATTGAGAATTGCTTCGTGATGAAGGATGCAGCATCTCCTCCACGTCCTTCGCCAGATACATAGCTTCAAGACGTGATTTGGGACGATGTAAACGGACCCACTGTTTGACGTCATCACGCAAACCAGCCAAAAAATACCCCAATGACTGTTCCTCTGGTAACCGAGGAACTAACGAGAGCAAATATTCGAATTCATCGATGTAGTCATGGATAGAGGGTACCTGTTTGATGGTTGCCAACATCTCAAAAGGGTTGTGAACTTCCAGACCACTAAAACGATGCAGCAGCTCTTTGGTTAATTGCTCCCACGTAATTGATTCGTATACTTGCTTCACAATGGTGAACCAATGGACAGCAACCCCTGTCATACTTAATTGTGCCAATCGTATACGCAATTCAATCGGAGTGTTATTGATTTCGAAATACAACTCGGCTTTTTGAATCCATCCTTGTGGGTCAAAACCCGAAAATTCTGGCAACTTGATCTTCTTCACAGCCCACGGTAAACCAGTGGAAAAACCTTCTCCAGACCCTGGCCGAAATGCGTTCCCCATCATTGGTGGTAGAAAATCCATACCGCCCGGAGTAGCTGGTGGTGGAGTGACCCTATCGAGTCCAGAAGCATCGCCAGGAAGAGAGAATGGTTGTCTCTCCTGCTGTTTTACCCAGCCAAGCATTATTTTACGAAATTCCATTGATTCAAGTCGTTCAGAATCCATGGAGGCCTTGATTTCGAGAATATCATATTGAATTTTAGCAATCTGTTCATCATATTGATCGAGACGTGCTGATTGAGAACGGGTTTCCATCGACGGTTGAACCAAGGTCGAGGCAGGTCACGACCGGTCACGGCAGCAGGTCGGACCAATGATAGAGAGTAGAAATAGCAATTTGGAATTAACACAGAAAAATACTATGGAAGGAGGTTATTAGATTGAAATTGGAATGAAAAGAGAAGAACAA